CAAATAATGAGCTCCCCTTTCAAGTAATAGGCTGACCGACTGTGTGGTTGAGTGAGTAGATTTTCACCTGGACAGGCGTGTTTACATGATGTTTCGTAATATATGGTGAAACTCAAATTTGTTTCTTTTTCAATATGTTTGAGGTTGGGCCAAATTTCACTTAGATTGACTGGACTATAATGTTTGAAGGTGGCCGTGAATCACACCAACAACAGCCCGTATTTTCTGGTGATATATTTACCATTTTACATATATTAGAACATCAAACCGCCGACTGGGTTTTATCTGCTCGGAATGGAAACTACAAGCTAATAGTAAAATGAACACCTGGGAAGATAGCGGAAAGAGAAAGGTCGACATTACCTCCTAAAAAGAAGTCATCAAAGTCCCGTTCTGAAAGAAATAACCGCAGACTAAGGGCATTTTTGGCCAAAAAGTCAGAGTAAACTGCAGAGATTGAAACTCCAGCTCTAAACTTAGACAACGTCTCTACAGAACCTGATGAGATAGGTATTACCGCTCAATCCATAGAGCCAGATTCGGCAACGGACTCACCGGCTGAGCTGGTATCTAAGATAGATGAAGCGCCTCAACTACCTATAGCCTTACCATCGCCAAAAGGTCCCGCTTGCTCTGTAGGTGCCGAGGGTCAATTGACAACTGGTAGAGAGGGAAAGGAACGCCGCAAACGCAAAAAGGGGAGAGAAAAATACATAAAGTAACGCTAGACCTTCCACAAAAGACCTACTTACTTGAAGTGGAAGGAGAAACAACGATTTTACTAGCCAATTGTGACGACCTGAAACCAGGAGGGCAGATAACGAAACAAGACAGGGAAGCAAGCTCTCTATAAAGAGGTCAAGAGAAGCCACGACCATTGGTTAGATATCAGAGATAAGAAGAACTTTCTCTACTCAGAACAACGAGTTGCAGATATTGAAAAGATAGCTAGAAAGATCAATTTGTACTTGAATTTATATGAATAAAGGGCGAGATAAGCCTAGGCCTTAATACACTGTTATACATTTTTTATACGCCCGTCAAAATTTTGACGGGACGTATTATGGTATACAAATGTCGTCTGTCCGTCTATCCGTCTGTCTGTCCGGCGTAAACATGTCGCACCGTAACTTGAGAACGACTTATCCAAATTTATTGAAACTTAATATAGTTGTTTCTTATGATGGTCAGACGATCTGTATACTTTTTGGTGAAAATAAGATTAAAACTTTTTGAGTTACAGGACTTAGTAACTAAAACAGGTGCGTGTTTTTTTTCACATGTTGCGCCGTATCTCAAAAACAATTTATGATTATTGCTTAAAACTTTACACACTTCTTAGTTATATTAATCTTAAGATCTGTATACTTTTTGGTGATGATTGCTAATTTTTTTTAGAGATATTGAGTATTTTGTTAAAAAAGGGGGAGGGGTTTTTCACATGTCGCACCGTATCTCAAAAACAGTTTATAATTATTGCTTAAAACTTTACACACTTCTTAGTTATATTAATCTTAAGATCTGTATACCTTTTGGTGATGATTCAAAATTTTATTTTTGAGTTATTGAGTATTTTGTAAAAAAAAAAGGGGTAGGGGTTTTTCACATGTCGCGCCGTATCTCAAAAACGATTTATGATTATTGCTTAAAATTTTACACACTTCTTAGTTATATTAATCTAAAGATCTGTATACTTTTTGGTTTTGATTCAAAATTTTATTTTAGAGATATTGAGTTTTTTGTAAAAAAAAGGGGGTTTTCGCATGTCAGGCCGTATGTCAGAAACTATTTATGATTATTGCTTAAAAATTCACACACAAGACGACGGGCGTATCATGCGCTCATGGCGCAGCTGTTTATTTTGTTAAGGGGGCGTGATAAGCCTACCATACAAAAAAAACTTACCGACTATGCAAGACGCTCATTGGTAGGAAAATTTGTATACTCCCCTCCCCTCATCAACAAGATACTTGGTTTAATGAGGCAACTTACTGTGAAAAAAAAAGTAAAATAACAAAATTTCCGAACTCCGAGGAAAATTCTACCTCAAGCAAATGGCAAAATTTAAAGCTCAAACACATCAAACGAATGGATAACAACTGTCATATTCCTGACTTGGTACAGGCATTTTCTTATGTCGAAAATTGTGGATTAAACCTGGTTTTATAGCTAGCTAAACCTCTCACTTGTATGACAGTCGCATAAAATTCCATTATATTGACAACGATGTGTGAACAAAACAAACAGACATAATAGGTAAAAATGTCAAAAATAGGGATACATCAGTCAACATTGTGTTATAATCTTAATCACTACAGAAATAAGCAAATATGTCAACAAAGACAAACAGAAAGGCATATAGACAAAGCACATTAGCAAAAACGAAAGACAAGAATAAAAAAAAATACCATAGCACTAAACAATGACGGGATGTACAAGTACCGAGCCACGTCATATGGATACCGCCATTGAAAGTGCAGTCAGTGTATTTGCCTCAAACTTTGAAAGCCGCATTATGGTTATATATTATATAAAAAATTTCTGTCTATTTATAATTTGAGGTTAATTATTTAGGTGAACAACACACGTGTTATTTGACACCTGTAGTCATTCTGCTGTCAATGATGCACTATTTTAAGCAATTGTCCGCGTCATCTAACCTACAACAGCATTGATCCGGCTACTTGTAAAAGCATTTATTGTTAAGCGTTTTAATATGGTGTATATAATTATGTCAAAATTCAAATGAAGCGAAAATTGCCTTAATATAGTTGCATTACTTGATTCCCTAAAGACAAATACATGTATGCTGTATGATATCCCTAACACAAACACACACAGGATACACATACGCACTTATACAAAAACATATTAACACCATAACAACCACTTTATTCCAGAAACTTAAAACTTATGTCAAATGCTTTAGTGAGAAATTATGATTGGAACCTATATAAAGCATTTTAACTTTTATGAAAAAGAGTATATATGAAAACCGAATTATGTATTATCTCCCCATAATGATAAAATATTGGGAAAATTAATCAGAGTTATCTTACATTAATCACAAAGAGAGACTAGCAAAAAAAATTTAAATTTGAGCTTAAATAACGTTAAAACAATTTTCCACTAAAAATGGATGTTACTTTATTCAATTATAAGGACTTAGTTAGCCAAATCTACTATTTTTATTTGATATTATTAATTTTTGTGACGCTAGATAAACATGCTACACTTAGTGTTCAAACGTTTTTAAGAGTTATTAGAATAAAAGTAGCAAGGAATTTAATATCACCATCCAAACTAAGAACAACATATTCTTATCATGATAGGTTTTATATCACACTATAGAATAAACCTATTGATACCTATTATAAACCTATTGATACCTGTAACCAAAATATCATATGTAAAAATCCACACATGAACCAAGTGTGTGGGAATGTTTTTATTTTGAGGAACAGATTTACAGGCATTTATTTATTTGTTAGTTACTATATTTCTTGGCTGATGGCAGTCCATTTGTTGATATTTTTTTTTCTAAATCGGTTAACTTTTTGAATATGAATGCCGATAAGCCTCGTCCTGCATCGTACTGATATTTCTATATCATTGATTTTGTACCTTTGTGTCAGTCATTTAAATGTTGGTAAACTGTAAATTGAAGTTACATATATTTACCTGTGTTTTATTAATAGGATTCATAACAACAAAGTTGTGAAATATAGAGAAAAAAATGGCACAATCTGCAGTTAAAATGTGCGATATTTGTGTTAGTGCTCCAGGATCATGTTATTGTCTATCCTGTGAACAAAACTTTTGTGAACATTGCAAAGCATTACATAAAAGGCAGAAGATTTCCATGGATCACTTATTTCAAGGTAGTTGTGAAGAGTTAAGGGATGTGAAATCTCGATGTGAGGACCATCACGAGAACTTTATCTATATCTGTATTAACTGTGACTTGCCTGTTTGTCGACATTGTGTTACTGAGAAACATAACGGTCATAGACTGTCTGAATTAGAGGATTCGATTTATTATTTAAAAGAAAAATTAGAAGCGATAGATTTAACAGTAGGTGAAGCCAGTCAATATGTAACCGATATAGAGAGAGGATTAAAGTTCTATGACCGTAGTATTGAGTCTGTTAAAAGAGCTATAAGAAATGAAGGTGACAAGGTTAAAGCTTTGGTTGATCGATATATTGATCAACAAATTAACACTCTTAAACAAACTACTAAATCAGAAAAGGAAAAACTTAAAAAGAATCGAACAGACAATAAAATTATCATTGATAAGGCGAATGCATTAAAGGACAGGAAAACAAAGATCCTTAAACAACAGAATGACACAATGACAGGTGACCTGAAATCATTAGCAGAGGAAGTAGATAGCATCCAACCGGTACCAAGATCTGCTTTCCCTTCTATCCATTACACTATCACACCAGTATCTAAAGAAGTTATTGCTTCTCTAATTGGTACATACGAGGTTAGGTTAGTATTTCTGTATTCCCTTTTATAACTTTCACTATCACACCAGTATCTAAAGAAGTTGTTGCCTCTCTAATTGGTACATACGAGGTTAGGTTAGTATTTCTGTATTCCCTTCTATAACTTTCACTATCACACCAGTATCTTAAGAAGTTATTGCCTCTCTAATTAGTACATACGAGGTAAGGTTAGTATTTCTGTATTCCCTTTTATAACTTTCACTATCAAACCAGTATCTAAAGAAGTTATTGCCTCTCTAATTGGTACATACGAGGTTAGGTTAGTATTTCTGTATTCCCTTTTATAACTTTCACTATCACACCAGTATCTAAAGAAGTTATTGACTCAATAATTGGTACATTCGAGGTTAGGTTAGTATTTCTGTATTCCCTTTTATAACTTTCACTATCACACCAGTATCTAAAGAAGTTATTGCCTCACTAATTGGTACATACGAGGTTAGGTTAGTATTTCTGTATTCCCTTTTATTACCTTCACTATCAAACCAGTATCTAAAGAAGTTATTGCCTCTCTAATTGGTACATACGAGGTAAGGTTAGTATTTCTGTATTCCCTTTTATAACTTTCACTATCAAACCAGTATCTAAAGAAGTTATTGCCTCTCTAATTGGTACATACGAGGTTAGGTTAGTATTTCTGTATTCCCTTTTATAACTTTCACTATCAAACCAGTATCTAAAGAAGTTATTGCCTCTCTAATTGGTACATACGAGGTAAGGTTAGTATTTCTGTATTCCCTTTTATAACTTTCACTATCAAACCAGTATCTAAAGAAGTTATTGCCTCTCTAATTGGTACATACAAGGTTAGGTTAGTATTTCTGTATTCCCTTCTATAACTTTCACTATCAAACCAGTATCTAAAGAAGTTATTGCCTCTCTAATTGGTACATACGAGGTTAGGTTAGTATTTCTGTATTCCCTTTTATAACTTTCACTATCACACCAGTATCTAAAGAAGTTATTGACTCAATAATTGGTACATTCGAGGTTAGGTTAGTATTTCTGTATTCCCTTTTATAACTTTCACTATCACACCAGTATCTAAAGAAGTTATTGCCTCACTAATTGGTACATACGAGGTTAGGTTAGTATTTCTGTATTCCCTTTTATTACCTTCACTATCAAACCAGTATCTAAAGAAGTTATTGCCTCTCTAATTGGTACATACGAGGTAAGGTTAGTATTTCTGTATTCCCTTTTATAACTTTCACTATCAAACCAGTATCTAAAGAAGTTATTGCCTCTCTAATTGGTACATACGAGGTTAGGTTAGTATTTCTGTATTCCCTTTTATAACTTTCACTATCAAACCAGTATCTAAAGAAGTTATTGCCTCTCTAATTGGTACATACGAGGTAAGGTTAGTATTTCTGTATTCCCTTTTATAACTTTCACTATCAAACCAGTATCTAAAGAAGTTATTGCCTCTCTAATTGGTACATACAAGGTTAGGTTAGTATTTCTGTATTCCCTTCTATAACTTTCACTATCAAACCAGTATCTAAAGAAGTTATTGCCTCTCTAATTGGTACATACGAGGTTAAGTTAGTATTTCTGTACTCTATAAATTTCATTATTAAACCAGTATATAAAGGAGTCACTGCCTCTCTAATTGGTACATTTGAGGTTAGCTATAGATTAGTATTTCTTAATAGTACAGATGAATTACAATTGTTGTTCACATAAGAGTTAGGTGTCGTCAATGAGACAGCAACCCAAATACAAATAGACCCAAAGGTATCTACAGGGCCGCATACATTTGAAATTCTGGTTTTACTTCAATAGTCTTAGGCAAATGTGGTTGCCTGCAAAGACATTTTACAGATGATGCCCTCTTACTGATTAATTCAAAGTTTGAGGACTATAATAATTGATCGCATCTATCCCACTGAACTTAAAGTAAAGGAATATATCTTCGAAAGTGTAATGGACGAATTGTGATTCGGTGGACTGTAATGTTATACCTGTATCATAGAAAACCCCGGTTATATAACATTTGTTGCGGCCAAAATACCGTCCTTCGTCCTCGAATATACTCGAATGCACCTAAGTACCGAATGGGCAACACAAAGGGTGCCACTAGTGGAGTCAGAATTTTTCTCCCTTTCAAAGCACCTCATTTCAACCCCTGTTTTTTTTCGGGAAAGTTGTTTTTTTCTTTTTTTCTTTTTTAAGTGGTGTCGTACTGCATATTTGTAAACCTATGTTTTCTTTAACGAGTTGTGAACACTGTTGTTCGGTTTCCTCTCTATTCCACTTTGCCTCTGGCCGTGTTTGTTTCAGTCATTCTTTGACCTGTTTTTTTTTCTGTCCCCACACCTTCTTTAGAAATTCATTAAGTTTCAAATATGGATAAACAGTTCATTAAGAAACAAAGATGTCTGTTGTACTGAAGTTGATATTAGTGTTTTAAAGCTTATTTTTGAATCTGTACATACTTTGCAAACGGTATTTCATTTCTTCCAGATTTAAAAAAGAAAATAACGTGCAATACGTTTTCGAGAGTTTTTCGATATTTGACGGAGGATGTGACCTCGTTAAGATCGTTTAGGTTCCTATTTAGCATTACAATCGATCAAGATAAAACAAATTACAATTCATCGAATATATTCACACTGTTTTAAATTTGTTCAGTTTTAATTTTTTATGTTTTATGTATTTATAACCTGGGTTTGTGAATATTACACAGGCAAAATTTGCTCACCTGAATTTCACATGAATCTCACGTGAAATTCACGTGAAATTTCACGTGAGATTCAACTCAAACGAGCTTGCACATGAAACTCACGTGAAAACTTTCATGTGAATTTTACGTTAATTGAGATTCACATGATTCTCATGTGATTTTTTTACGTGAACTTCACGTGAATTTTACAAAAAAAAATGTTATTTTTCATGAGTTTAATTTAATTTGAAAATATAGATGTTGTTTGAATTATTTATTTCTAAAATTCACGTGAATTTCACATGAAAAAAATTCATGTGATTTTCACGTGAGTTTCTCATGAGATTCACTTGAACCTCACATGAACTGATTTCACGTGAGTTTCACTTAAAAGCTTGTTTGAGGTAAAATTCACGTGAATTTCACATGAGATCCACATGAATTTAAATTCACGTGACATTGTTGTGAGTAAAGTTTCCCTGTTTACATTGATCTTTCATGTCCAATATATAACGAACATGAAATATCAAGTATCCTTTTTATTCTATACTGATAATAAAGATAACAATCGTATGCTGATAATTAAAATACTTTTGTTTATATGACACAGGCAAAATTTGCTCACCTGAATTTCACCTGAATCTCATACGAAATTCACGTGAAAAATGTCAGGTGAATTTCAAGTGGATTGAGTTTCACAGGATTCTCAAGTGACTTCTTTTACGTCAACTTCACGTGAATTTTACCAGAAAAAAATGGTATTTTTCATGTTTTTAATTAAATTTGAAAATATAGATGTTGTTTGAATAACTTTATTTTCAATATTCACGTGAATTTCACATAAAACAAAATGCTTGTGATTTTCACGTGAAATTCACATGAGTTTCACATGAGATTCACGTGAAACTCACATGAACTGATTTCACGTGAGTTTCACATATAAGCTCGTTTGATATAAAATTAACGTGAATTTCACGTGAGATTCACATGAATTTAATTTCACGTGACATTGTTGTGAGTGATGTTTCCCTGTGTACATTGATCCTTCATAATCTATATATTCCGAACATGAAATATCAAGTATCCTTTTTTTTCTATACTGATAATAAGGATAACAACGATGCTTACAATTGTTAATAATTTATCAAATTAAATACTATTGTAAATATAACAGTCAGACGATATGTGGAATTGAACAGTACAAGCACTAAAGCCAAAAGTGAGTATAACATCTTTTAATTACAAGCATAAAGCATAGGAATAAAAACATTAAAGGAAAATAACGTAAGATAAGTTCTTTTCAAGTACCAAACATGGTATAAACATTACAAGTGCAACACATGGCATTAACACATTATATGCACCTATGCAAACTTGATATAGGCAAATAACACACAACATGGTTTAAACGCATTGAAAGCATCAAACGTGGTATACAGACACCAAACATAGTATACACACCTTACAGTCACCAAACATGACATAAACACATTACCAGCACCCAAAATGGTATAAAAAAAACAGACGATTCACATGTGTCAATGTTTAATGCGGAAACTGAAATTTCCCTTGACAAGAGTTAATAAGAGATAATTGTTTATAGCATTCGAGTTAATAAAGCTTTGATTGTAGATTTCCTGAAGGTAACTGCAGTTTTAAGGTATAAATAGGCATACCTGATTGATGATCGCGAAGTCTGCAAATAATTTCGCATTGGTGATAATGACCATTTCAATACCTTTATTATATTTATCTGAATGTTCTATCTAAAATAAGTGAGTTTTTCTGTCCGTAAATTGGTCTATTTTTATGTAGCGTGTGCATATTTGTATGCGTGGTTAGAATGTATACTTTCTCTAAAACCCCGAGATAATTATTCTAGCTCAGGGCAATATACAGTCTTCAACAATAGACATGTGTCGACACAATATGTCTAGAGCAGGGCAATATACAGTCTTTAACAATTGACAGGTATCAACACAATATGTCTCGCGAAGGGCAAAAGACAGTCTTCAGCAATAGATATATGTCAACACAAAATGTCTCACTCAGGGCAATATACAGTCATCAAGGGTAAAAAGATGTCAACACAATATGTCTCACTCAGGGCAATATACAGTCTTCAACAACCGACATTTGTCAATACAATATGTCTCACTCAGGGCAATATTCAGTCTTCAACAGTAAAAAGATGTCAACACAATATGTCTCACTCAGGGCAATATACAATCTTCAACAATAGACAGCTGTCGACACAATATGTCTAGCGCAGTACAATATAAAGTCTTTAACAATTGACAGGTGTCAACACAATATGTCTCATTCAGGGCAATATACATTCTTCAACAACAGATATATGTTAACACAATATGTCTCACTCAGGGCAATATACAGTCTTCAAAAATAGATTGGTGTCAACACAATATGTCTCACTCAGGTCAATATACAGCCTTCAACAGTAGACAGATGTCAACACAAAATGTCTCACTCAGGGCAATATACAGTCTTCAACAACCAACAGGTGTCGACACAATATGTCTCACTCAGGGCAATATACAGTCTTCAACAACCAACAGGTATCGACACAATGTGTCTCACTCAGGGCAATATACAGTCTTAAACAATAGACATATGTTAACACAATATGTCTCACTCAGAGCATTTATTTATACAGTCTTCAATAGTAGACAGGTATAAGCACAATATGTCTCACTCAGGGCAAATACACTCTCCAACAACCGACAGGTGTCACAATATGTCTCACTCAGGGCAATATACAGTCTTCAACAATAGACAGGTGTCAACACAATATGTCTCATTCACGGCATTATACAGTCTTCAACAACCAACAGATGTCGACACAATATATCTAACTTAGGGCAATATATAGTCTTCAACAATAGACAGGTGTCAACACAATATGTCTCAATCAAGGCAATATACAGCCTCAAAAACCGACAGGTGTCAGCACAATATGTCTAGCGTAGGGCAATATACAGTCTTCAACATTCGACAGGTGTCAATACAATATGTCTCACTCAGGGCAATATACAGTCTACAACAACCGACAGTTGTCAATACAATATGTCTCATTCAGGGCAATATACAGTCTTCAACAACCGACAGTTGTCAATACAATATGTCTCATTCAGGGCAATATACAGTCTTCAACAACCGACAGATGTCGACACAATATGTCTAGTTCAGGGTAATATACAGTCTTCAACAATAGACAGGTGTCAACACAATATGTCTCATTCAGGTTAATATAAAGTCTTCAACAACCAACAGATGTCGACACAATATATCTAGCTTAGGGCAATATATAGTCTTCGACAATTGACAGGTGTCAACACAATATGTCTAGCTCAGGGCAATATACAGTCTTCAACAATCGAAATGTGTACTCCTCCTCATTCTCCTCCCCCTTCTCCTCATCTTCACCCGCATCCTCATCCTCCTCATCATCATGATCATCATTATTTTGAAATGAATGTTTGTATTATATTTTTCAGATCAGTTCAACAGACGATTTTCAATGAAGAAGGAAAGTTACTCAGGAGCAAGTTATGCGGGTACGTACCAATTACATCAATAGCATAGCCAAACATAATAAGTATTTTTCAGTGTCATCAGTAACAGGGTTCCTACAGATCACGTATCAGCATGCTTATTAAATGCATTTTGTTATTAATGACAATCACAGTATAATACCTAAGATGAACGGAAAATTACTTAAATCATACATGTTTTTATCATACATAGTCTATCAATAATAATGTTTCATTTCAGAGGCGAGCGAGTAGTTCCTTTAATGTAAGTATTTCATTACATTTTTTGTTCTAAAGATTGAAATTGAATACATGTATTGGACTTTTAAATTACAATTGTAAATAACTTTGGCGATTATTTTCCTTAATAAACGTATTTTGAATGCAGGTAGTTTAATTTTATATAAATATATCATGCTTACAAGGGGTATTTGCCAAAAATACCGGTAGGCGAGGGAAATTTGTTTACCTCGAAACCGGTATTTTTGGCAAATACCCCTTTTAAGCATGATATAATTGTTTAATTCCACCCAATGCTGATCCTATTCTATCCTTCTGAACTAAAAATCTAGAGATCTTCGGAAGTCGCGTAATTTTTCAGACATGGTATTTCCCATCTGCCGTGGTATTTGCTAGCAAATACCCCGCCCGTCAGATGGAATTCCCTAATGACAAATACACCGTCAGAGAAAAGAAAATCTTAATATATAGAAAATTTGTGAAAAATACAATTTCTCTCATCCAATCAAAATACAGCATTATTACGTAAGGTAGAATTATTCAATAAATACTGGGAATATCGGAATACTTATGTTTTTATAAAGGCATATAAAGCCTAAACAACCATTTGGAATTTTTGTTTGTTCAATGCTCTTTAACTTCGTCATTAATTTGGTTGTTAGATGAGTAGTTTGTAGACTAACTATACGCCTGGTATTCTTGATAAGTTGTTATTATTCTTAGACCTTGCATACCTGTGACTGGCAAAAAACATAAGAAACTCGGACGATACTGAAAAATATTCAGAATTAGACAATATGAGTAATAACATTTGGATAAAAAATAATCAATTTGTTCAATTTAGTGAAGCAGGCTTAGGGGAAAGATTTTAGAACTTATAAATAATCATTCTTGAAATAAATAGATAGATAATATACCAAGGGGCATTCGGAAATCATTAGTCCAATAAAACAGACAACACCACGGCAAAAAACGACGAAAGACAAACAACAGTTACTAAATATTACATAGAAAACTAAAGACTGAGCAACACGAACCCCACCAAACACCGGGGGTGATCTCAGGTGTTCTAGAATGGTTAGCATTTCCTGCTTCACATGTGGCACCCGTCGTGTTGCTCAATCAAGAAAAAATCCGATGATAAGTCGTTTTCGGTAATGCCACAATTGAGAAAATAGTTAAGGGTTATGGTTACGACAAGTCGATCATTGTATCTGTAGCCATGTGTGACACAGATATTCCATAACGAGGTTGGATTGAAATAATTTCTGTTGTCGTAAAGTTAGTTCTCAACCGACCCTCATTGCAAATATTTAGATGTAAATCAAGGTACGAGGCAGACTTAGCTGTATATATGGCAACCTTTATTTCAATAGAAATAAGAAGATGTGGTATGAGTGCCAATGAGACAACTCTCCATCCAAGTCACAATGTGTAAAAGGTAAACCATTATAGGTCAAAGTAAGGCCTTCAACACAGAGCCTTGGCTCACACCGAACAGCAAGCTATAAAGGGCCCCAAAATGACTAGTGTAAAACAATTCAAACAGGAAACCAACGGTCTAATCTATATAAAAAACGAGAAACGAGAAACACTTATGAGTTCATTTGGGTACATCAACTATATACCGGAAAGAGAAATCGAAAAATAAAGCCTGCATCAAATGAAACTCCTCGTGAAAATCTACTGTGCACAACGCAATTCATTGCTCAAGTATATCATTAGTTTATTTAAATAAAACATCAAGCCGAACTAACGTGGCGAGTACTAATTTAAAATAATATGGTGGATTTTGACGATTTGTCTTAACTTTTTTGTATAAACAAATCAGACTTTTTGAAGTAGGATATTATTTTGTTGTTGTGTTTGTTTCAATGACCATCTACCTTTGTTCGTTAATATTATTGTTATAATGTGTGTGTAACGCATCATGTTAATATACTTAAGCTCTGTTTTGTTTATTTTCAGGGGATAGTAAGTATACTTTGTATGATCCAAGACATAAAAATACATATATGTTTGTAATGAGGCCTAATGAATAAAATTGCATTGGAGTTTATGCGGTATTATAACTTTTTTCTATATAGTTTTATGTACAAGGTCATCCATTAATAATACCCCGGTTTCTGGTGGGGTTCGTGTTGCGTATTATGTTGTGTTTAGTGAACTGTTGTTTGTCTTTTCGTCGTTTTTCTATGTTTGTATGGCGATGTCAGTTTGTCTTCCACTTATAAATCTAAAAATCCCTTTGATATATTCTTCCTCTCTTTTCATCCACTAGTAAAATAATCTTCGGGAACTAGTCGGTAATCAGCCTTGGCAGAAAAAAGTAAAATATCAAAAATACCGAACTCTGAGGAAAATTCGAAACGGAATGTTCCTTATCAAATGGCAAAATCAAAAGCTCAAACACATCAAACGAATGGAAAACAATTGTCATATTCCTGACTTGGTCACTGACAGGCATTTTTTTATGTAAAAAATTGTGGATTAAACCTGATCTTATAGCTAGCTAAACCTCTCACTTGTATGACAGTCGCGTAAGATTCCATTATATTGACAACAGTGTGTGAACAAAACAAACAGACATAATAGGTATGACAGTCGCATGGACTTCCAGAATATGTTCTGTTAAGATGCTGTCTCAGTTACGATTATTTACGATTCCTTTGACGTTGTTCGGTTGGTGTGCGCTCCATTTTCACATTTAATCAGGGGAAAATGGCCGAGTACGGATAGGTTAACATTCGAAACTATTTTGGTTTTACAGTTATCCGTCCTTTACCTTTTGTAAGCAGTTTGTATACACTATCGTTTCTTTAAATGGATTCGAAATACTTGCTTTGCAGTTAGAGTTTTAATTTAATTCTGTCAGAATACTGTTTGTCCTTCCGTCTTTAAGGTATGTCCAAGATATGATGTTGTAACGATATCAACGACATCGATCGTCTCTAAATTGACAGTTACATTATACCTATCTTAGCTCATTGTAGAAATTCAGGATCGCGTTAGTTTTTTTTTCCTCAAAATTTGATTTTCTAAAATTGTTGACTCTGTATTCATTTGCTTCGGATGTCGATATTGACGATTTCGAACATTTTGATTTTGGTTCATCTATTTTTTGTTGTCGATTTCGACGATTTCGATTCTATATTGACATTCTAAATTATCCTCATTTGATTTTCTTTCCTTTTATAAGTTTACTCTATATTAATTACCTGCAGTTGTCAATGCATGTCGACTTTTTATGTTCGAAAAAATTACTTGCTATAGTAAATATCGAAAAGTTAGTTATTCCTGGTTCATCTATTTTAGATGTCGGTATCAACAAGATTGACAATATCGATTAGATATTTTAACATTTAAATATTCCTTATAATTAATTCTTTCTTCATATCAGTTAGCTTATATTAGGTACATACATGCATATTAAATTGTTAAATTGAATAAAAAATAAGGAGATGTGGTATGATTTCAAATGAAACAACTGTTCACCAACGACATCTGAAGATGAAAACAACTATGGGTCACTGTTCGGCCTTCCAAAATGTGCAACACTCGTATATAGTCAGCTATATATAAAAGTGACAAAATGTGAGACAGTTAAAATACGAAATCTAATGTCCTGATTTATGATAAGAACACAAATTGAAAATAAATGTGTCACACAAACAATAATAACCACTGAATTGCAGGCTGCTAGTTTGAGACAAGCACATAAGAATGTGGTGGGTAAAACATGTTTAAGAGCGCTCGAACCGTCCTCTAATTTGGTTCCGCAGCTAAGTAAATAGTGAAACAATACGTGTGGTGTCTGTAAAATATTTAACAAAACAAAAGGTTGTAAGGAATAATGATGCTCTTTATATTAAGAATGTTTAACGGAAGATCGATACGAACATCAGTCAATTATAACATTCCTCCTTAATTATTGTAATGGAATTTTAGAAATTGAGCTATGTTTTAATTTTATATTTCAGTCGGTTAGTATTAAACAAGACATAGATAAGTATGCGTGTATATATATTCTCCGACATACTAGTATAGAAAATATCATGTTATAGTGCTGAATTCAAATTGTATCTTAACAATATAATAACTACATTAGTATATTCTAAATTGATCTATGAATTAACAAAAAGAGATTTGAGGTATGTGTCAATGCAACAGCAACCAAACAACACAATATAACCAGTAAGACAATATATTAATGTTATAGTACGGTTTTATATTTAAGAATTGAATGCTTCTTTTTGTAAATTTATTGGAGTGTAAAAGCGTTGACCGAAGTACATTTTGTATGAAGCGCGGAAGCGCTTCATTCTAAAAATGTGCGCACGGTCAACGCTTGTACACCCTATAAAATTACTAAAGAAGCATTCAATACTTATAATTACATTTGTTTGCTAGGATCATGAAAACACGATTTCTATCAAGTTTTTCTTTTACTTACCTGTGCACGTTATTGTGGAAGCTCGTGTCATCATGAATGTTACATTTCATTTTGAAATGAAGGTTAATTTCAGAATGACGCGAGATGCTGTTAGCCAATCAAAATAACGTATTGTAACGAAACATACATGTAATGTAATTATAATAAATTAAATGTATTTCTATGTCTTATGCCATGGCAAGCTCTAACTTACCGGGTCGACAAAGGTTGTGACAACAATATAATGTAACGATATGCATCACAAGTGATACAATACAAAATTGAAAAATAATACATGATTAAGAATGCGAAGACCACGGTACGGCAAAGTAAAAACTTCGCCATCTATTAT